ATGGTTAAAAGTGAGATTTGCTCTTTTGTTTGGAAGCTGAACAAGATAATTTTCACCTCCTTCAAAAAATGTGATTTTTGCAAGCATTTTGTTCCATGGATCCATGGCAGCAGTTTAAGCTAAATTATCAGTGAATCACTCCTTATTGACAAGTATAAGCTAGTTCTATAGCAAATACTAAATACTTCCTGTTCTTAAACATCTTACAAAGTTTTCACGCTATTGTGACAACTGAATATTGTTCCACATCAGCTTGGAGAGTAGTATCAAATGGAGTGCCACAGAACTCTGGGCTAGACCTATGTTGTTCCTCATTTTTATTAATGACTTGGCCAAAGGGGATGATGGACAGGGTGATTATCTGATTTACAGCTGACACTAAACTAGGAGGAATGGGTAATGTTTTAGAAGAAAAAGATAAGATTCAGAAAGATCTATACAGATTCAAACAACAGGCTGAACAGAATTTAAGAGGGAAAAATATAAATTCCTGCATCTAGGGAGAAAAAAATGAAAAGCACAAGTATAAGATGGAGATCTGATCTGGCAGGAATACGTGTCAAAAAGATCTGGGTGTTCTGGTAGGTCACAAGTTGAACATCTGCCAACAAGGTGATACAGCTGTTAAAAAGATAAATGCAATTTTGGAAAGTATTAACAGAAATAGGCTTCAGATCGCAGGAAGCAATTGTCCCACTCTGCTCTGCCTTGGTCAGGCCCTACTTGGAATACCTGGCAGTCTAAAAAGGACATTGACTAAGTGGAATAAGTTTAGAGGAAGTCTACCAAGATGGCAAGGGGCAAGTCCTAGTTAGTGGCAAGGGGCTAGAATGAGTTGCCACACTGGAACAGCCAAGGAGAGCTGGTCAAGAGATGAGAGAGATGGCAGATATGGAGAATCGCAGAAGCAACGGTCATTATTCTGGCTGTGGATGATGGAATTGAGGGCACACATTTGGGAAAAGTTAGCCCAAAACTTACACCTAGGAAGCATAAAATAAATACCACCTTTCCTACAGTACAAAATAATACAGGTAGTCATTTAGCAACCACAATTGGGACTGGCAACTTGGTCATTAAGTGAAGTGGTCACTAAATGAAACTGACTACACCCATGATCTTACTTCAGCTTTCCTTTGCTTTACAGACCTGCGAAGGTCATAAATGCAAGGATTGGTGATAAAGTTACTTTTTCATAACTCTTGTAACTGCAGTTGCTAAATGAGGCGGTTGCTAAATAAGGACTATCTGTATGGTCAGACACACAAAATAGCTGATTATGTCTTGCATTCAGGATGACATGTGAACCCAACTATTTTGATTTATAAACTATGACTTGTCACTTAATGGTATTTGTGACTACAACCATTTTTTTTCTTCCTAGCGTTTTTCCCGCAGGTACAAGGTCCACTTTTTCATATCAACTGTAGCTTAGTAAAACAAACTCTGCAGTATTAAATTTGACAATTAAAAGCTAGTTATTCCTCATCTAATATTCTTCAATGTAAGAGGTAGCAAGTTGCCAGAAATGTAGTAACCAATTAAGTAAAATCACTGGAGAATTAAATCTTTTTTGCTATTCAATTTAGTAAGATATGTGTTTAGCTTCATTTAAAGCTACAGTGACATATCTATTTGCACAATAAGCTTATTGTGCAAATAGATACAAGGCGATATAGCACCACCTACTGTTTGAATCATAGGAAAAAATTATCATACTGTACCTAATAATGAGACAGAGGCAGTTTGGTGTAGTGGTTAAGGCTTCAGGCTAGAACTATTAAGTTCTTGTCCCATCTTAGGCACGAAGCCAGCTGGGTGACCTTGGGCCAGTCACATTCTCTCAACCCTAGGAAGCAGGCAAGGGCAAACCATTTCTGAAGAACCTTGCCAAGAAAACTGCAGGGACTAGTCCAGGCAGTCACCTAGAGTCAAAAACTGACTCAAAGACACTAAATAAATAAATAAAGTGAATTACTCAGCAACTACAATCCAACAAATTATGGAAATGTAAAGGTCAAATTGAGAAAGTTACATGCTTAAAGGTGCTGAAAAGTTAAGATTTTAGTTTGAAATATTA